TATTCTCTCCCTCTCTCTCTCTCTTTTTTTTTCTCTCATAAAAGTGTGGAATGAAAAAAATTTCCACGAATCCCGGTGCAAACGGGCAGAGATCTTCCCCCTTAACACGTTCCCGAGCGATTAAACAAATTTTCGCTTGCATTATAAATAATGCGTAATAAAATAATAATACTAACGTGAAATACGTACGTATATTTGCGTTAATTAAAATTGAATTAAAGGGAAGAAGGAATGTAATAAAAGTACGAAAAAACAGAAAAAGAAAAAGAAAAGAAAAGAAAAGGAAAGAAATGGAGAAAAAAATCCCGCGAGAGTTGGAAAGAAAATTTTCTCGAAATGTATGAATGACAAAGGAATGGAAGGAGAACCAAAAAGTAATAGAAAAATAATTTAAAAAGAAAAAAAAAGGATGAGAATAAATAATGTTTAACCAAAAGAAAACGAAAGAAAGAAAGAAAGAAAGCCTATAGTAGCTTTGTCGAAAGGAACAAAATATAATATTATATAACGAATTGTCACGTAACTTTGAAGATTGTTTTCGTGTTAACAAGCATAGAAGCAGAAGACCTCTGCGATTCGTCGAATACGGGAGAAATTCCAATTTGCCGTTCACCAAATTGGCAGAGTGCAGGTGTACGTATGGCTTTTAAGTTAATTTCGTAGATCGTTCGTCGCGTTTGCGTCGACGTAGCGCATACGATCGACGAGTTGTTTGTTCCTTCGTCGAATAATGTCTCCTTGCAAACCCTCTTTACTCTTTCTCTCCCTCAGCCTCAGTCTCTCGTTGTCCCCCCTTTTCTCACCCGCAACCATCTCTCTCTCCCTCTCTCTCTTGGAAATCGTACTAGTTCGCCAACCCAACCCCTTTCGTCTGTATCACCTCCCGCTATTGGACCGATTCCAATTGCGAATTGAACCGTTCGTAACTGTTGAACGTGAATTATGGCGTTTATTTATTCTCTCCTACGTTCGGAACACCAGCCACGTACCGATTCCCTCTCGTAAGCCCCGGTCCTTCAGCACTTACCCTTCGAAATCAGCGCCGTAGTTCTGCGGACGTCGCTCCGATCCTCGTAACGACGTTGATTTCCCTTGATTATAATCGAATCGTTCGTCGAAACCCAGTCTCTCTCTCTCTCTTTCTCTTTCTCTCTCTCTCTCCTCGAACCGATACACATCAACGTAAATTCATGCGATACGTGCTCACAAACTAGAATGAAAATGTTTGAGGTTCATTCGTTTATGTACGTACGGGGTTCTATCGACGTTGTTCGAACGTACGTTTTATTGACGTTGATTGAATCAACAACAACAATAACAACAACAACAACAACAACAACAACAAAATAGGGAAAAAAAGAAGACAAAAGGTTAATGAAATTAATCGAGATTTGATAGAACAGAGGATAGGCAGGAAAATAGAGAAAATAATTTGCTTCTCTCTCTCTCTTTCTCTTCCTTTCTTTCTCTCTCTCTCTCTCTCTCTCTCTCTCTCTCGATATATGTAATCAAAGATCCTCATTGCGGTCGACAAAATTACATCCTTAACGCGATTCGTTAAGATTCCATCTGTCTTCTGTCCACCCATCGAACGATCCTAAGATATTCGATTACGCGAGAATGTCCGTAAGTGGAAAAGGGCCGATCGAAATCGAATTCCATAGTTCAGAATGGGGAGAAATACGAATGGGAGGATATATAGGGAAAATTATATCTCGTTTTCTACGAAAATTGGAAATACGTCGAAATTTGATTACTTTCTTTTTTTGGAGGGTGGGGGGGGTTAAGGTGGTTTATATATAATACAATTAAACAATAACGTTTTAACGAGAATTATCTTATAATCGGTTTAAGACACACATATGACACTTCGTTCTCTCGTATAAGATACTATACAAGTTGCTATTGCTTTATATATTATTACTCACGGTTTATATCCTAAAGTTCCAGACGTTGGCTGAGTAGTTTATGAATGCCTGTCCTTTCGCAAGATTGCCGAGGCGAGAACGTAACTAGGTACGTGTTTATCAGCCCCCTGGTGGCTGGTGTATACTCGTTCGTAGGTACCTACGCTAACTGCTGCTGCTGCTGCTGCTGCTACTGCTGTTGCTGTTGCTGCTTTCAAGAAAGTTGCAAACCTCTCGTCGCTATCGTCTCGTAGAGAAACTAACTCGTTTCTTCAAAGTTCCAGTCAAGTATTTCCAAAACTATACTCTTGATTTCTAATTCTAAATTCTAATAATATAAATTTATACTCTTCTCAAGCAATCATTCCTCTAAAATACGTTTATTATTAATGAATAAACGTTAATGTGGTAGAGGTTAATACTTTGAATCGTTTGATTTATCAATTGGAAATTGGAGTAGACAAAAATTAGTTTTCAATCAAAATTTTGATCATCGGTCTATTTCTTTCCGGATGAATTAACCATAAAAATAATCCTCGATAATAATTCATGGTATATACTTCGAAGACACTCATGAAATTATCGTAGCGTTTCTATTAGATTCTACGAGTTCTCTCTCTCTCTCTCTCTCTTTCTCTTTTTTGACGAGTACTCTCTTTCTCATCTTTGACGGTTACTCGCTCACACGGCAGATATCAATTTTTACATACGGTATATTATCGCATCGTTTCCTCCCAACAAAGAAACGCGAATGTTTGACATCCACGACTCATGTTTTCTATGAGAGAAGAGGAGGAGAGAAGAGGAATAAGTACCTAACTTGACTCGCGTACACTTGCTTTCGTCTCGGAATTAAAAAATAAAGGTATCATTTTTATTCCTTTTTTCTTTTTCTATTTTTTTTTTCCCAACCGTTATTTACCATATCGATCAGTTGAATTTCAACGAATTAATACAAACGAACGACGTTTTTGTTTTATTAAGAAGAAAATTGTTCAAATATTTCTAACGAATAAAGTTGTTAACTATAAAATGTATAGTACGAACTTAATACATCGCAGAAATGTATGTGCAACGAGAAATAATAATAAATGATTCTTAGTAACGGTAAAGGTTGAAATTTTTCAAATTCCTTCTTTACAACTACGAAATATTCGTCGTATTTAACAAAAATGTATGGAAATATAATATTTGATAAAATTATAATTTTAGTGTGTTGAAAAAATAAGTAACGTACGAACAAAGAGAAAATATAAAGGAAAACAAAAAAAAAAAATCGGAAAGGTGTATTCCATCAAACAAAACATTATTATTGCTTTTTATTGTATATACCTACGTATCACGGTACTCGAAATCTTAGAATAGTTCGAATCGCGTGTCGAACATTGAAAAAGTAAAGTTCAAAAGGTAAAAGTAGTATGAGTTTGTAGGAATAACGTGAACTCCCGTTATGATATTTGCTGGATGATTTTGTCGTGATTCCGAAGTTAACGAGAAACTCTTAATGGCATAAGTTTGATAAAACTTTTCTTTGACCGAAGTATGTTTGAAGTATCTCGAACGATATCTTAATCGTTAGATCTGAAACGTTCACCAACTATATCTACGTCTAATTGATCTATAGCCTAGCTATACATCAAAATCTTTGACTTAGAAACCAAGTTAAAAAAGATAGATCTTGGGAAAAAGGAAGGAATAAAACGAGAGTTGGTGTTCTCTCTCTCTCTCTCTCTCTCTCTCTCTCTCTTTTTCTCACTCTTTCTCTGTTTAATTTTAAAGTAACGCTTTCTTTCGATAACTATCATATCGAGTTTAAGTGTCGCATGGAAATTGATCGATTAACTATCGATAAAATTGAAAAATGAAAAACTCTTGGTGAAACGCTCGTTGAAAGCTTAGTTAAACTAATCCTCTATTAAAGACGCGTTTAACGTTTTAAAGGAACGGAGTTAGACGTTTCGATGGACGATGATTGATGGATCCAAAGGATAATTGAAATTTTAATTGAAAGTTGCTTCAAAACGATCTGCGGTCACGAGGAAAGAAAAAAATATTTTTCGCAGTCTTATCGATTTGAAAAAAATTAGAAAATAAGAGAACGAGATGAACGCGAATCGGTGTCAATATTTTATTAGAATCTTCGTTGTGTCACATATTTGTTAACGTCGAAATTAATCCCCACATAGGCGTTATTTAACTCTTCTTTTATTATATATTAAAAATGAATTATACGTTTTATCATATCGCACGTATGAAACATATAATATGATAATAACTCGCGTGCATCTGTCAAACGAAGTACAAATATTTTTATCTTTATTTTTAGTTAAAGATAACGACGTTTATTATATAATGTATATACGGAGTATCGTTTACGATGCACGTCTATTTTAATCTTATCTTTCTCTCTTCTAAAAGTTTTTTCTTCCGGTATATACACGTTCGCAACCTCATCTTCCTCCTCCCCCTCCCCCTCCTCCTTCTTTTGTAACAAATTAAAAAAGTGATAATCGTCGTCATTATCCGAACATCTTATCTTGTGAATATCCTTCTACAGTTTGCTCAACTATCTTCTATCCTTTTGTAACACGATCTATCTCGTACCTACCTTCCGTTTACTCCGGATACTAATTTCCACCGTGCAAGCATTCGACTTTCGTGAAAAGATAAATTTTCCTTCTACGCTTCTTTCATCATCCCTTCCAGCAGCCACTTAACATTCCCTCCATTAGATCCTTCTTCTTTGCACGCTATCTCTTCCCTTTTTTTTTTTTCTTTCTTTCTTTCTTTTTTACTTTCCCATCCTTTTTTTATTGTCCCGAATATTCTATTCGCGCCGCGCTTTTTATTATATTCCTCTCGTATATATACAAAGTAATATTGCGAATTGCGAATTTCAAGTACGCGACGTACATGTTACGAAAATAACTTTCAACATTTTATTTCATAAATCATTCCTCGTTACGATAGAATAATTTATACACACGGTAAAATATAAGGTGGTTGTGAGGAGTTGTGATAAGAGCTGGGGGGGGAGGGAAGGGTTGTTATAAGAGGAAACAGAAAAAAGGAAAAGTCAAAAATTTGACCAAATTTACGATATATGCAAACGCACGCGTACATTTATATTTATATTTCGGTGCTTCGAACAACGAATGGACGCGTGGATAATATGCATCTGCATATTACCTAAGTGTAAAGGTAGATAGTATTTATCTCTTTCTGTAATATAATGTTTGCATCACACATATAACCCGCTCACCCATTTACGTAAAAACAACATCGCGTGCGGCACATTAAATATATGTGATGAGAGTATTTTTTTAAATTCACATACACCTCGTTAACGTTTCCTACCTAATCGCCTTTTCTTTTTCCGAATTTTTTGTTCTCCTATTTCTTGCCCCTACACCTGCTCGCACCCAACACCCACCCACCCTGAACTCCGGGTAAATTTCAAACATTCGTTGCCCGTCGGCATTGCTGAAACGCGATATACTTCAACATTCTACCCCTCCCTCTTCTTATTCCCCCTCCTTTCTCATCTATTACTTTACTTTTTCATCACCCTCTTCCCCTCTGTCGTTCTTCTTTCGTACCTTCTCCGTTCCCTTCAGTGCAATGCGCTTCACGAAAGCATTCCCCCGAGCAACCCCTTTCCCTTTTTAGGTGCAATATAAAAAAAGAAAAAACAGAATCGAAAATCAGATTTGCGCCAGACGAGCGTGAAAACAAGCAAGCGTGACGAGCTTGAGTTAACAAGCCCGTTTTCCCTACCACCCTTTTCTCCTTCCTTCTCTTACACACACATGCACATGCACATATGCTCACGCGAGAACACATGCGTATACGCACACTCTCTATCGAAAGTATCAATCGACCATCATTAATTTGTTCGTTTGTTTCCAATCACGTATACTACACGTCACGTTCTCTCGTCAATCTAATGAATAATATACTTGCGCTTGTTGCGTTGTCCTATTACTATATGAGCGCACCAGCGCTAAAATGCAATTAAAAGTCGAGCGCTGGAGGAATACCTCCTCCCGCTGTCCACGCCTGTCTCTCCCCTGTCACCCTCATTCCCGGAACCTTCCAATTTTCCCCCGCAAATAATAACAATTAACTTCCGCAATTAATCGAGCGCTTGTTGTGTTGACACGAGGGGAATCGTAATATAATATCGAAACATCAATAACGGTGAATATAAGATACACACACTCCAAACGTGTTTGAACATGGAAAATTTTCTACGAGTTTACTACCCGTACGTATGTCTCTCTCCTCTCTCTCTCTCTCTTTCTGTTTTTGTTTTAATTTCATTTTTATTTTTTTTTTTATTTTATTCGTTGCCTTTTTTTTTTTTTTAATTCACAATCTCATACTTCCTTCGCGTAACAGTTTTCCATTCCAATTTGTCTCTATGAAATTTACTATGTGCTCTGCTCTCTGTATTACATCAGCGTCATTTTTTGCTATACCCCACTACGTATGCAAAAGTTTCTGCACAACGGTATCATTATGTATGTTTCTTGGTTTTATTTCTTTTCCTTTCTTTTTTTTATTATTTACATTTTTCGTAAGAGAGCTCGCGCGCTTGTTACTCTTTTCGCCGCATATCATTCGTATATTACAATCTAGGAAATAATTTATTTTTATATTGTGCACTCTCGTTGCCTATTAACGTTAGATTAACAAACCGTGCTTGTTTTGTTTTTTTGTTTTTGTATTTGTTTTTGGATTAACAATTTGTATCAAACTCGTTATCGCGTACGTACATCTCATATTATTATTATTAACCAATTTTATTATTTTATCTCTATATTTCTTCTCAACTATATATATATATTAAATTTATTCCGTTTATATATGTTTGAAATTTCAACTATTTATTTTCGTGATTGATCGTCGATAGACGAATCTCTGTTACGAAATCGATCAAAATCGATTCGAAAAATACATAACCAGTGTATTTAAATAAAACACGTTACCAATAATAATGATTCATTAAAAATCCATTAATCCTAATTGATCGTAATAAGGGATCCTCTTGCTTATTACTTCACGATAAATATCGGTTTTATAAGCCGAATCGTCGTAACCACCGTCGGTGCCCATAATCTCGTTGATATCTTTCGCTTCCTTTCTATCTACTAGAACCAACGGTAAAATAGCGAAAGAACTTATCATAGCTACCATCTCGTAATCATCGATAGACTTTTGCAGTTTTTCCATACTCGGCGGAGGGGTTTTGCAATCCAATTGTTTCATCGTCTTACACAATGTAGAATAATATTCGTTTATTAACGTTTCCTTCTTATTTTCATAAACGTCGTTGTTCGGACTGGTGCTAAGAAAGTATTGCAAATCTAACGCAGGTGATCCATAAACACACATTTGAAAATCAACCTGCAACAATAGCATAAATCAGAAAAGATATTCGATTAATCGATCAATCTTTGAAAAAAACAATTCGATTGAATTGAAAATGAAAAATCTGGGTGTTAAGTTGAAAAGAAGAGAAGGAGGGATTCGTGTTTAGGAAGTCGTCACTGGGTCTAAAGATCTATGTGCATCGTATTTATGTGTCCTATATCATTCTCTCTCTCTCTCTCTCTCTCTCTCTCTCTCTCTCTCTCTCTTTTTCTCTTTCATTCTGTTCTCTTCAATCGCGAAGGACGGACAGACAGGTTCCTTCCGGGTGTACACCTGAACGCGATCGAATCGAATTTATTGCATTATTCATAACGCGTGACAATACGAAAGGATCCCCTTCCCTTCCCTTCCCTTCCCTTCCCTTCCCTTTCCCTTCCCTTTCCCTACCCTTCCCTTCAACGTCTAGTAGCCGAACATTTTTACCTTTCGTTATGAAGAAGTCGGTCTCCTCCTGCGTGGAACGTGGAAAAAGATCACGAATAATTCTCGATAAAAATTCCTGTTAAATCTAGCCTCTGCCCCCGCCCCCTAACTCGTTGGTTTTTTTTTCTCTTGATATCTTTCCTATGGAATTTGTTTTTTGTTACATCGTGAAAAAATAAAGATACTTTATAATTTTTCGTCCAATTTCGATATCTTTTGTTATCTTGTTATTCGAATAATACGAAAACGATTTTTTCGAATATCATCATCATCCTCTATATTTTGATATCGTTGAATCGTTTCTTTCTCTTTTTTTTTTTCTTTTTCCGAATATAGAAGATAACAAAAAAAATACGAGCACAAGGACATAGATTTTCCTTAGCGATGGGACGGAAGGAGGAGGGGGGGATGGTTAGGGGGTAAACCTTTTGATCTAGATCTAAAAGCCGACGAGTTTCCAAACTAGGTGGCCTACATAGAAATAGAGGAAAAAGCTAGATTTGGTTTAACTCCGAACGTTTTCAACCTTCCGGCCTTTCGGTATTTACCAAGCTACATATTTACGTACCCTTCTTGCAATACCAGGAAGAAATTCTTTTATGTTATACTTTTTTCTAGTAGTAAAATCTCTTACGAAACGCCAATCAATTATCTTATGTTGAATCAACAACCGAGATTCAGAAATATTTCGAATCGTTTGGGGCCGATTGAGAAAGTAATCTTTTTACTACAACGATGGGTGGTTTGTTTTGTTTTGTTTTGTTTAGTTTAGTTTTTACTTTGACATTTTCCCGTTGAAAGAAACGAACGTAACTTTAAAGTCTACTATTCCGATGATCAAAGGGAAAAGGAAACGACCGAATGTAAATCGTATCGTTATACTCACAAAGATATGATCGATCGGTTTTCCTTCATCATTATAACGAAACATCATATTGTTCACCCAGAAGTCACCATGATTTATAACATTAAATTCGTCGTCTTGTTGTTTCAATACCTTGCAAGTTTCGGAATAGATTTTGTCAGATATCTTATCGATCTTCTCCGCATATCTATGAATTAATATAATCAGATTTTGTGACGTATGTGTAACGAATTATCATACATACGAGAAGTGTTAACAAGTTTTCTAGAATTACATGGAAATATATTTAAGCGAATTTGAATGAGATTATATCGGATTGAAGAGTTTTGTTCAAGTCGCAGAAAAAAAGGAAAGTATTTATTAAAAACTCACTTCTCAAAATTAGGCCATTGTTTTACTTGCGCTGCTAAACATTTTGTTCCAAGTGAAAAGAAGCTCGTCAATTCGGGAGGATGCCCGTTGAAATATATTCCTCTGGTGTAAATCGTTTTATTATTTGGTTCCTAAAAACATATTGGTATCTTCTAATAATTAATATAAATTACGTGTATCCCCCCATAATTATGAAATAAATCATTTTCGAAATAATTATTGGTTACATCTCGTATATCCGTTTACAAGGTAAAATCCACGACAAATCCACGTCATAAAAGCTTCCTCAAATTTTCTAAAGAAACAGAGAAATAGAGAAAGAGAGAGAGAGAGAGAGAGAGAAAGAGAGACTGCATCTAACATTGGAACACGTCCAACGATAAAGGGTAATAAGGGATATTGAACTTTAGTTATCCTCCAGGCAGACATTTCGCATGTATGCACTTTGATTCGAGCCACGCGAGTTTCGAACTCCCATTTGCGTGCACAAAATTTGCGGCTTATGATAAGCATTATAATACTTTATCCCCCTAAGCTTTACCCGACGAAGCACACAAATTATTTCGTTCGTGGAATAAGTTGACTTTTGTCCCGTCTCTTTGTGTTGCAAGATATATTATTAATTTATCAAAAGAAACAAAAGAATAGAAAAGAGAAGAAAAGAAAAAAGTAGAGATTCGTTCGTTTTATTTTTTCGTATTACCAGGTGAACAATATTTTATCGATGGATAAAAATAAAGATCGTGTACCTTACCTTTTCGCATATGGCCAAGCTACTAGCGTGAAATCTAGCCAATCCTCGCATAGCCATCAAGGAGTGAGTTAGGTCAAGACCGGCTTGACGATCAGCCATGCGAAATCCAAGAGGAGCGAGATCCTCTATCACTAGAAACACCGGATATTCTTTTTGAACGTAGTAAATCCGTGCTCCTAGTGTATGACCTGGTCCAACTAGGTCGTTCATCTTCTTCAACAGGTTCATCATCATCGATATTTCCGTATCGAAGATTTTGGATTTTTCAATCTAGACAAACGTATTATGATATTATTGATCGTATCTTTTTCTATTTGTTTGTTCATTGTTTCAATTTAAATTATACATTCCTCGATATATCGATATACCTTTATTTATTTATTTTTAATCGCGATCGCGTTCTTTAAATTTCATTATAAACATAACAAAATATTGTAATAACACTAACCAAATCGCTTTTCAATGTATCCCCAGTTGGCGCGACTTTAACAATGAGGGATGTTTTTTCCGTAACTTCTCGTTCCCCAGCCTGTTTGCATGAAATTTCAGCCGATATTCTGTACATGTCGCTGGTATAGTTGTCCCCCTTAGCCGTCGCGGGTTTTGAACATATATCGATCACTCGTATCGAATCGTCGTTCCTCGCTTTCCGCAAGATATTTTCCACGAACTCGGGGTTCAGCCATGGCGGTGTTTCCTCGGCCATTTCTGAAATTGGAATTGGATTCGGAGAATTTTTCATCGACAAATCTTCAGTTCTTTTTCAGTTGTGTCAGGAAACTGTGGAAACGATTCTTTACAATAACTTATTGTCATAACTGGAATACATCGCTATCATCTTTTTTTTTTTTTTTTTTTACTTTTCTTCCTTACCCTTAAACCGAGATACGCGAACCAATCCATTTTTTATTTATTTTTTTTTTTTTTTATTTTACTTTGTATATATTCTATATTGAGAAATATCTTTCTCAAAAAGTTTTCTCACAATTATCGATACTCGTTATATTATAATTAAAGATTCCAACAAAAATATATTTCATCTTTTTTTAACTAACGTATTTTATAATATTATGATAATTATTTCGCATGGTCGTATTAGATTTTAAACGTTAAACACATTCAATTGCTCTTACTTTAAACGAATATTCATTTATTCAATGATAATTGGTGTATTTAAATAACTCTAGCCTTGGTAGAACAGTTTAATCAATCATTTCGTGGCGGATACAGTGGGCTACACGTTGTATTTTCACACTCCATTCGTTCTCTTTGAATGATTTAAATTCAATTTATATTGATACACGTTATGCTAAAGATATTTATAAAAGATCATACAAATACAAACATTCGAAATTAACAATTATAACACATCGATAATATAATGTTTGAGATATTATCTTAGAAATTCATATTAGATAAGAACGTGTGAATTCTTGAACAAATAATACAAGCTAATGATTTAATAATTTTTTTTCGTTAGATCTGTTATTATGGGTGATGTGAGGTGGGGTGGATTGGGGTGGTGTGGAAAGACGATAGCAATAATCTCATTCGTTTAATATTATGGGAACCAGTTGAAGATGCATATCTAGGAAGAAGGGACGAATTGAGTTTTGCGACGAGATTAGTTTTACGAGTATGTTATCATCGAGGTCTCTTGCGTACACTCAATGAACATTATCAAAACTTTCCATGCAACTTTTTCTCACGTCTTATGAGGTCTCATGCACTGCTCTCTTTCTTCTCCGGTTCTTCTTCTTCTTCTTTTTCTTCTTCTTCTTTTTCTTCTTTTTCTTCTTCTTCTTTTTCTTCTTCTTCTTCTTCTCCTTCATTTTGGTAGAGAAAACTTGACTGTGATATAAAAACTCGTTTCGAACGGTAGTCGACGTGGAGGCAAAGTAAAGAAAAAGAGAAAAAAAGAATTTGAAAGTAACCTAGCGGCATTCCTTCTAAGGAAGACAAAATAAGAAAAAAGAAACGATGAGAACAAGAAGGACAGGGAAGGATAGAAAACATTTAAATCGTGCCGAAAATATATATTCGATGGTTCGATTTTTTGTAGGTTCCCTAATGAAATTCTAAATAGAAATATTTGTTAATTTTGATCCCACTTTAAATAAACTTTTGGTAACGTATGTATTTGAAATCTGGTTTGGTAAGCACATATTTTCGGTTGATTTCACCGTTTCTGTTACCGTTACATAAACGTGCCAATTGTACAAACTATACTAAAATATACTGTTACATATGTCGAAATAATATAAAAATGTGTTGGAAACGATTAAATTTGATTTATAAAACCTTGGACTTTTAAATAATTAAGTAAACATGAATATAGATATTTTATGATGATACCACTAACATCAAATTATATTCTGTTAACATTTTTTACTCTCTCTCTTTCCTTTATATTATTCCGAAGATTATAAAAACTATAAATCATCGGAATACTGTAATTAATTTAAAAAAAAAAAAACAACACTTTAACGTTTAACATTGAATTCATTATTCAAATCGTGACAATGAATTTTCATTCGCTTAAATTTAAACTAATCGAATATATACAAGTGTATGAATTTAAATTACATACAATCATTTTAATATATCACTATAAAACAATAGACGAATCAGAATAGAATGAAACTAAACAATGAAGAAAATAGGACGGAAAAAGTAAAAGTAAAAAGAAAAAGTACAAGTTCGAAGCAATCGTTATACAACACTATTGACGCGTTTGAAAAAAAGCAACAAATGATTAATCAAAAAGATAATTCTTAAAATGACATGTTATACGAGATACGACGGTCACTTAAATTTTTTATTCACTAACCTTCAAAAATATCAATTAAACGTACGATCACATTTACAATTGACAACTTAAAAATCAATGATAACTTGAACTCTCTCGTTGAACGTGCAGCGGACGAATGAGTGATTGTACGATGGACGTAATATTTTATATAGGCTGCTTGAGGCGCGGATCACTCGAACTATTCATATCTCGAAGATTTATTATATTATGATTCCCTTTTGTACGAATAATTATTGTTATACTTGAAAAAAAAAAGAAATATTGCACGTAGAAATTTTCAAGCTTTTTTCTGTTTTGTTTATAAACACTTATCGCGTTTTAAAAATAAAATATATATAATAATAAAGTAAAATAATAATACAATATATTATATATATCCTATCATTTTTATTACCAACCAACCTGAGATTTGATCGTATTCACTAAAAGTTAACACTTGGTTTTTCTTCGCTACACTATCTCTTCTTGTTGGAGTATCTTATCTACTGGAAATAATATAGAGAACTATTCATTCGTTATTTATACTCTCTTGAGAAATCCATCAAATCGTAAACTAACTGGCAGCGCTGTTAGCAGCTTTGTTAGAAACTACCTGTTCCAATCTTTAACATTTCATGGAATCTGCTTGTTCACTTAGAAGATAAAGGTAATAATTATTTATTTCTTAATTACTTCCTATTCATATTATATAATACAATTTTCTTTATTTTATCTGTCTCTTTTCAATTTTCTTTTTCATTTTGATAATACGAAAAATTAACAGGATAAGATTAATTTTATCTCGTAATACTCTCTATTATTGCTTGTTTCATTTTATTTTATTTATTTTTCGAACATACACTGATGAGCCAATTACGTTACCAATAAAATATAAGAACAATTGACATTATTAATGAGATTTTTTATCGCTTGATATAAATTATACCATTAGAAAGTTATCATAAGAAGATAAACAGGAAAAAATACAACATCATGTATTATATTATATACATTACATATATATATATATATATATATATATATATATATATATATATATTTATTTATATATTTATTTATATATTTATTTATATTTATTTATATATATTTATATATATATTTATTTGTAATATAGAATAAAACATGTGTAAAATTGAATTGTCTTTTATTGGCCATAGTTTTTGCTCATTGACACGTATTAACCCATATTATACTTTCTCACGAGCAAAAGTCTTTTATATATTACTTTTCATTCCTTTGATCTTACAATTAGGTTATTGTGTTTGCGTGCATGTGTATTTCATCAGTTACGAGAAGATCAATTTTAAAAATACTCAATATAATATTTAATGTATTATTGTTACATGTGTCTTATGCAACGTCTTTTTTTTCTTTTTTTCTTTGAATAAAGATGACGTATTAAAGCATCCACATAACAGTGCGGGATTTCTAGATTGTAGTAACATAGTCCAAAAGTTTCTGACTAGTTTAGTAAAACGTTAACAACACTGACATGTTTCCGTGTTTCTACGAAAACAGCTGGCGTTAGATCAAAATACGAAATAACTATTATATTATTATTTTCTTTTCTTATCTAGTGGGTGTGTTAATTTTTATTGAATTCAAAAAAAACATCGTATATTTAAACGTCTTTTAATTTTTTCACGATTTAATATTATTTAAGATAATTACCATTCTATCTTAATCGAATAGATAAACTTATCGATTAAACGATGGTGATGTATAATATTTTGTTATACCATACTACAATATAAATTTTAATTAATTGTCTCTGGGAAAAAATAAAATTTCAACCAAGAGTTATTTTCGATAGAGTATCAAAACCTTTTACAAATTTTCCACATACATATATACATACATACGTAGACCACACTGACATATATATATATATATATTTATGTGATTTAACCACTTCCGAAAGATGACATTTACTTTATTAGAGAATAAAAGGGACTGTGCAACATACGCTAGGAACGTTATATCGAATTACCCACGGTATACTGAATGCATTACATAATTTCTTAAGCCATGGCCTCTTACGTCTATTCAAGTTGACAGAAGTCAATTAGAAGACAATCATAAAATTCCTTTATTAAGATTTAATAATATTGGGAAGTCATTTCAAGTATTTAATAACTACATTTGTTATTTTAATTGTTTAAATCGCACGATGGTTCAACAAATTTTTCAATTTTTACTAGAAAATCTAATAAGTTCACTTTAACATATAAATCACGTATCTAAGAAAATACAATAAACGTTATTGTCTTCGTAGATGACTTTCTTTCATCGAAATTTTAAGAAATTTTCTTATCTTATTAAAGAACCATCGTGTATAAAATTATCTTAGAAAATGATTAGTCAATCTTATGCATCAGAAAGAAAAAATGGAATTAAGAATATCATATGCTTGAATATCATTTCTCAAGTTTTATATTTCAAATATTATTAATTAATACCAATCGTTCGAATCAATGGTAAATCATTTCAATTGATTAGAGACGAACAAATCTTTTACTTTTTCTCTTTCGTGTGTTTTTACAAATCGATACGTAAGTTCTAATAATATAGTAATTTGTTTTTCTCAACCAGTTTCTATTCAAACTATAATTACCATATCGTGTTTTGTAAAAGATAATACAAGGTAGTCTCATCTTAAATTACGCAATCCATTAGTAATATACGTGAAAAATCCTATCTCATCATAAATTACGTAATCATAAGTAATATACTACTCGATCACGTAATCCATGAAACTAAAATTGTTAAAACTTTTGAAACTAGTTAAAATGAGATACTTTTTGATTCCTTTATCTTTAAGCAAAACGACAAAGACAAGAAATTATTCACATCTGTAATTAATATATATAAGAAAAAATATAAAACTATGCATTGATTTGAATGAATGGTATCGATTCATAATATTCGAAATATGAAACTGGAGTAATTTTTTTTATCCAATGCAATAAATGCGATACTAAAAGATCATTGTACGTTATACATATATATATATAGAAAGAGAGATAAAGAAAGTAAGACATGTGTACTAAAACGTTGCACATAAACACGACAATCTATTTAATATCCATTATAATCCCCATATGACATAACAATAATATTTCGAACGATTTTCTGGCTAATACGAGTAACACTCGACGAGTTTACGAACCACTGTGCGGCTGCGGTTTTATAATGTAATGTGACCAACCAATTTATATGCTTATAAATAGACTCTTATGTGACATATATCAACTAGTTGAAATCTTGGAACAATGAAATTACATGATAAATGGATTTTTTCGTTTGACCAATTGTTCACATACGCCTTAATCAAAATCAATATAAAAAAAAATCCATTAAGAACGTAACAACTTTCTATTCCAAAAATCATAGTAACTAGAATGATAAGCATTATTCCAAATTGAGAAAACAAAAAATGAAGATGTCGACGATTTCGTTAGAATTTGCTTAAGAGTTGCACTCTTAAAGTGTTCAGATATCAATATAAGTTCTGTTAGAGTCCATTCCTTGTCGTCGTAGTCGTAGTCGTAGTCGTAGTCGTAGTCGTAGTCGTAGTTGTCGTATTGCAATTGTCGTGGACGATTGCGAGCACTCAAGTTGAATGCAGTCGTTACGTTTCCACCCTTGGTAGAAACTCGTACCACGTCTACCATCCCCGATTGTCCTTTATCCAGAAGACTCAATACCCCCACACGTTGCTCTCTTTACCTTTCCTCGAGTATTCCTTCGAAAGACAGAGAAGGATAAAAAAGAAAAGAGTGAGTGAGTGAGTGAGTGAGTGAGTAAGTGAAAGAGAGAAAGGGAAAGATGCCCCCTCCCCTTTTCTACTCGTTCCTCGTTCGAGACAATTGTATGGCAAAGAAAAGTAAAGTAAAGAGGGCTAAGAGGTGTAGTAGTAGGACAGACACCACCCCTATTACAACGCTACTCAAGTGTGACAATTTCTCTCTCATCGTCAATTCGAAATCTGATTTAATTATTGTCTTATACTTTTTCTTCTTTTTTCTTTTCTTTTCTTTTTATTGTTTTTTTATTTTTGTTGTTGTTGATATTTCATTGTCATTTGCATTTTTATATTACGTTATTATTTAAATTGATCTTTTTGTTTTTTATCGAAAATAAAAATCAAGAGGACGGGTTAAAGCACGCGCGCGTATTTATATCACATGGCATATAGAATTTTTTTTTACTCGAAGGATTTATAAATCGAATATCGTTTCGATAGAAAATCTGTAACGTTCGAACGAGAAAAAAGTATAAAATTTATAATAAGTTTTATTCGAGGAGAGAGATATTTCATTTAGGAATATCTTTTTTTTTTATTTATTTATAATTTACGTTGAGAGTATTGCGAAATATGACGATACATATGACACACCGTGTAATATTTCTTTTATTTTTTCTTTCCGTTCCAATTTCGTTCTATCTTATTTTCACGCTCGTTTCAAATAAAACTCGATTTCTATATCTTATTTATCAAAGTAATTTGATAAAAAATAAATCACACAGAACCGTTTGTTTGTCTTTCACATGAGCAGATCATGTCTCGTTTAACAATCTCAAAATTAACGCGTGTTCATTTATTTTTTATACATATTTATATTTATCACTTACACAATTAATCAGATTTAAAATCACACATTATATTAGATCTTCTTTATGAAAGACGTTATCAACGATGATTTTATATTAGAACAAAATTTGACTACGTAAACCAATCGTGCATGATTAAATATTAGTGGTCATATTTTATTTACAAAAAAAAAAATGTTTATTCAGATAACGTTAAAAGGATGAACGAAAGATCGAAAATAAAATAAAGTATGGGGAAAAAGGAAAAAAACAATTTGATCACTTTACCAAGATTATCTTGAAAATTTTCCAAATGACCGTCTATTGGTGGTACTCTCTTGGAGTATATGCTTTCTATAAAGAACTTGGGCTCTCATTGTCGTTATCGTTGCTGCACCCTCTCTAGCTGCAGGAAGTTAATCCAATCACCCAGCTCGTCCGGTTCGAAATATCCCTGCACAAAACTATACTACTACTACTACTACTACTACTACTACTACTACTATTACACAGAGTCGGTTGGTAGTATCTA